CTCTCGGGCAGGATTTGGAGTAGAAAGTGGTGGAGAGCTGGGCTTGGCACAGATCAACCATTATCACGGCGACAAGCATCAAGACCAGGCAAGTAGATCCTTTGATTCTCTCCATTTTCTCCCGATTGACCACGCAACAGGAGCGTCGAAGAAAGGATGATGATCGCAAAACTGTAAGTTCCTGCGCTCCCGGGAACAAGTCAAGCTCAGCGTCGCTTATATGCTCCAGGAAAGCGACCAAAGTAAAAAAGGAACTACGTGAGCGATCCAAGTTGGATGGACCGTTTGCACAATTAAAGAGACGCCGGTATCTCCCTTAAGAAGCGCAAGTAAGTCGGCATTGCAAGCTTTGCTATTGATGCGATTTTATATATATCCGCAGGGCCTCTCATGCACGTCGTGAGCAATTTTGAATCAAAAGCTTTGGCTGTAGAAAAAGAGCCGTCGTTTTCAGTCGTGAGAGCACAAGATTGAAGAGGATTCTGTTCTCTCGAGGAACCCCTCATTTCTTGTGTAGTAAAATAAATGAGGGGCTGCGTGGCTTCTTCCAATGTCAAACTTATGCCAGGCTGGGAACTTGTTTCTCAATGTTATCATGCACAAACGTGTAGTAGTTTCTTATTTGTTTTTTTTTTTCCTACAAATTTTTAAATAGGATGAATTTCACTTTTTAAGGAATATGTATCTAAGGTGGTAGTGGGTATGGTTGGCCGTCATATATTTCCAGTGGTAAGTGTCCCATACCTGAAAATTCAGATAGACACCTTAAAAACTTCTAGCATTTCAAAACTCTTTGATATATGTTATGATATTGGTATAATAGACCCTGTTGAGATGATAGAATGCCGTGCTTGTGCTTGTTCTTGTACTTGCTCACTACAAAATCATAATATTATAGAAAATAACAATCTAAATAGATAACTTACATAAAATCAATTGATGATTGTTGTGATGATGGTTCTTGTAATTCAATATTTTGTTGACTCTCTTGAACACTTGAAATCTGCTTCAAATATTTATGATGTTGTGATTGTCCCCATATTAACATATAAAGACCAAGTATTACAATAATACCTCCTAATATACTGTAACAAATTTAAGTTTAGAAAGTTAAAATCATTATTTACCTTCCCATATAAAGTGTTTCTTTAAGGAAAAAAAATCCAAGTATTGCTGTTATTGTTGTTTCTAATGGTTGATAAGTAGATACAATAACAGGTCCTCCTTGATGTATTGCCCATGATTGAACCCCAGAAACAAAACCTGATGCTATAAATCCCTAAAAACATAAATAAAATATATGTAAATAAAATATAATAATAAGAAAATCTTACCGAATAAAAAATACTAATAATTTCAGATTTTGTAATTTTCCATTTTGAGTTTTCGGGTTCAAATAGGAAAAACAATGATGAAAATTGTGTTGTGCTGAATAAACACATAAATGCAGCACAAGATATTGGAGCTTCAAATTTCAATAAAAGTTTTGCCTGTAGTAATAGATAATAATTAGAATATAAATTTTTTTTAAAACTACTTACCTGAAAAATCAAAAATACTGAAAATGCTAAACATGAAAGTATTAAATAAATAGAGCCAATAGTTTTTGCAGGTACCATATCATCCAGCAAACCAATAAACTGAATATGTACTTGTTTATAAAATCCCTTATCTCCTTTCTCCTTCACATTTGGAAATTTAAATGTGCTTTGAATAACAATAGGACCTCTATAGACTGACAGAAAAATAGATCCCAAAATCCCAAGCAAACACCCAATAACCTTTGCCACACCATCAACTCTTTTAAGTCTTACAACTTCCAACCTATAATACAATGTAAACTTCGGCACCAAAGTAACTTGGAATTAAAAACATTACCCACCGGAAAATCCATGCAAGTATAAATGTGAGAACTGGTGTTGTATTCCTCATTGCTGATGCAAAAACAGGAGAGGTGTACTCCAGTCCAGCAAGATAAAGGACTTGGTTGAGTGTAACCCTGTAACCATTCAGAAATTATAAAGTCAATTAGGCTTAGAATCTTCCCTGCAAAGCCTACCCGGCCAAACTTAAGAAAAAGAGGTTGATTGTCACTACCAAAGTGAGCGTTCTCCATTTCCTACATTCACAGGATGGTTTTGAAATCGATACATAGAAACCATACCTGCGCTCGAAGAGGTAAGCACCAATCGCAAGAACTACCGTTGCAACACAATTTCTATAGAACGAGAATGCAAACTTTCCGGCACCTTGATCCAAAGTGATTCGGGACAAAATCTCGAAACCAGCAAAGCCCGCTTGAGCAAGAATCAACGCGCAATGCAATCTTGCCTGGAACAAACAGAGGAATTGGCGAATCAACGGGCGAGATTGTGTAGCAATACCGATTTCCAGGAGATTGAATTGCATCTCAAACAATTCTTCGAGGATGGTGGTGGCGAACGATTTCCTCCCAAATCCATAGGATCTTTTGTTGCATGCAGACAGGCAGTAAAGGGGTTTCCTCTTTGTTTTTTAATTATAGCTAAAGGTGGTATTTATAGATTTCCATTTTAATTCACATTTCTATCCAATATAATGGGTGGTAGAAGCCGCCGCACGGACGGCACAGATCACCTGAGGCATTAGAAACAATCGCATCGCCGGTACTTTGTTTTTCTCAAAGATTGCCTGTGTACCAGGAGAAAACTCCGGCAAACGAAGAGCTATATATTTGGTTTTAGGCTGCAATTTCCTGCTCGACAAATTCATGTTTCCATGGAGAGATCCAAGTTCTCATTGGAGTAGTGTATTCTCGAGGTTACTAGCTTCAGGGTCTTGTGTTCCAGTTTCTCTCGATCGGGATCGAGCGCTCGTTTTTCTACCTGAGGCTGGCTCGTTTTCCATCTTCCCAAAAGGTATCGGAGGTATTTCATACTGGTGGAGGATGGGTTCTGATCGTTTCGTGCTCAGCTTAATGCTCATAGTTCACCTCCGGAGAACCAATCTTCCTACTCGTTCAAGATGTCCAACTGTTTCACAAGCAAAGAGCAAAGGACGCGAAAAGACTTGAACAAAAATGGCTTTGGCACAAAGCTGCGGCTGTGCGAGGAGGTCGTGCAAGCTTATAAGTGCTTTTCTAGTTCCCGGTTCCAAAAGGCATCTGGAATGTTGTGGTCAGGGCTCTCGATCATAAATCGGAATTTCTTCCAGCCTGCTCAGCAAGTACAAAGAAATTCACAGCGACGTTGGTTGCCGGGTTCCAAGTTCCAAGTGGCTAGTAGTTTTACATTCAGTTTATTTTTGCCATTGAAATGCACTTTAGAAATGTTTCAATTAAATGTCTGCAAGAGGAAATCAAAGCACAAATGCTATATGCTATGCTGCCTCTCTCACAATGGATGACTGCTGCCAAAGAACATGTCCTTTGGCCAGGCTGATTCTGAGCTTTCGCAAAGAACATATAGCGAGTGCTTCTAATTCATCTGGCTTCTTGGAGCTGGAATGTCATAGCATTAGAAAGTGAGAGCTCAAAACCTCATACAGGCAGGAGATTAAAATCATATCAACATCAAACCAACAATTTTCTCCCAAATCATAAGATCTGCAACAAAATCAAGATTTTGTTGCATAGTAGTTTCATTTTTAATTATCACTAATAGAATTGGCGGCGGGAAAGCTCTCCCGCTGCAATTCAAAGAGAAGCGCGCCCCCACGGACGGCGCGGATCGCCTGCCACTGAAACCGACGGTCCTGCGCGTGGCACGTGGCAGGAACAAATTTCCCTCGCTTAGTTTGAAGCCCTCTAAAACCTCCTCCTCGCCCCCATCCCAGGTAGGGTTCTTCGTCTCCTGGGCGGGCGATTCTTGCTCGCGCATTGGAATCCTCCCCGGCCCGTAGGGTCAGAGGCGCATCGCGCGAGAGAGGTAGCTGGATTGCTTCTCTTTTGCTTATCTCGTTGCTTGTTTTCCCCTAAAATCATGGTCCTGTCCACGATCACAGCCTGAGTCCGTGGCGCTCGCCTCTCCATTCCGTTAGTCGTTCCAAATCCAAGGCTCTCCCCGGTTGTGTCAGTCAGTGTGCTTTCTCCTGGTTCCACAAAGAGCGAGAGATAGAGGATGAGGATTGCCTTGGGTGAGTCTGACAGGAAGCGCGCGGCAGCATCGAGTCCCAATGCCAGCCCCGCCGCCGCGCGATCGCGTCCTCGCAGGCCGGATTCTTTGCTCTCTCTCAGCAGCAGCAAGCTCTCAGACAAGGAGAACTGCGTCGGCGGCGGCCCGCCCAGGACCCGCGCCTCGCTCTTCCATCGCCCAAACGACGAATTCGTGTGCGTGGAGCTCCCGGTGGATCAGAGCTACGCCAACAAGAGGCTGCGAGGGATCGCATCGTCGGAGGTGAGTAGCAAGGCGAGGAGCCAGGCGCCGAGGAAGAGCCGCCACAACTATCTCAAGCCTGGGACGCTGGCAAAGGTGAGGGACGCGGCGCACAAGGCTGGACGTAAGAGGGTGGCGGAGGGCGATGGCATCCACGCCGCCGAGCGCTCCACTCGCTTCTTCGATGGGGGAGTCCGCCATGCAAGCGCCTCGCCCGAGAGAGTTCCTCACGCCGGGATAGCTCCCAGATGGCTGGGACCGGCTTGCCTCCAGAGGAAGAAGCTCCTGGCTCCAAAGTTCCTGGCCTTGCCACCGCTCCAGCCGGCGGCCGCCAACGAAGCTGTTCCAATGGTGGTGGAAGAAGTTCCAGCACCAGCCGCTCGGAGTAGTAATGAAGAACAGTCCCGGGACGCTGGGACTGGAACTGCGCAGCCGAGCAGCTCTTCGTCATCGGTGGAAACTCTTCCGCCCGAGTTGCTGGTAAGTTACAAAATGTTTTTTTTGTTTTGTTTGTCATCACGCTTTTGTTTCCATCAGGTCCGGATCGTTTGTCGTCTCGATCACAACCAGCTCAAGCCCGTGTTCCACGTCTGCCGATCGCTCCGCCAGGCGGTACGTAACTGTTGCTTTTCTTTGCACGAAAGCTAATGATTTTCTTTCCTCCAATTCTCGTGGTTTTTCCAGGTAATGATCGCGAAACAGTGTCATTTTAATTTCACCACACCTGGCAAAGACCATAAGACGGTTTCGGATGCGAAACTGGGCCAGGCCCTGCCATTTTTGAAGTAAGTCATGATCGAGAATACAAAAACTCTGAGAAACTCACTTCTCGTCACCACCTTTCTTTCTTCAGCGAATTCGCAGCTGTTGGCATCTCTACGACGCCAAACGCTCCAAAGCATGCCGAGAAAGCCCCCAAGCCGAGGTACTCCATGGCCGACATGAGGCAAATCGCTGCCACGCTCTTCCAAGGCTCGCAGTCCCAACCGCTTCCTCCGAACGTAAGGGTCCCGATGACGCGAGCGGGGGCATCGCACAGGGTGCTCTTCAACGAGGAAGAGCTATGCAAGGCCATCGCCCAGAATACGCTCTAAGAAAGTTCTTCTTCTCCGGTCTGTACAATATAATCCTTTGGATCGAATTTAATTCTTGTTGACAAAACTTTGGCTGGCTGTGTTGTTTCTATATCTGCATCAATCATATCCAAGTTATAGAACTTACAAGGAAAAGGATGTGACTCTAAAGTACCGTCTATCGTCCTTGCGAGAATGGTCGCTCGCGATGGCTTACATTTTCTTCTTCAGCTTCTTGGAACGCATTGTTTACTGTGTACACTCTCCACTTGTTGGAGTTTTCGAGTATGTCGGCCACTGTCACTGCTGGTGTGATCTCCGCAAGAGCTGGTTGATCTTGACGCGAGAGTGTGGTCAGCGGCGGCTCCGGGAAAACCTTCCGCGAGCTATTGTTTGAGGCGTCGAATGATCTTGTTATTGAGAAGGGCGCGTTGTCTGGAAATACCTTGCTGCTTGAGCTGTGCATGTCGAAGGTTCTCGTTATCGAGAATGGTAAGTTGCTTTGATCGGAAGCAACGAGCTGGTGCTCCTTTTCTTGGCCCCAGATGAGGAGATAGAGGCCGGTCACTACGACTAGCGCACCAATAAGGCTGGAAGAAGAGAAAGATTTTAGGCTTGGCAGCAAATCTCTAGCAAAGCCTCTGACCTTCCAAGGTGCAAGCTCTCTCGTAGAAAAATCAAGCCGAGAAACGCTGTTATGACTGTTTCTAGAGGCTGATAGGCAGCTACCACCACCGGGCCTCCTCGATGAACTCCCCACGACTGAACAGCGGACACAAAGCCTGATGCTATAGCACCCTGAAAGGAAACCAAGGACAAAAAGTTACGAGAATCACTAAGATAAAGATTCCAAGGACATACCGCATAACCGATGCTCAAAGCTTCACTTGAAGAGATTCTTTTCCAGCTCGACCAGTGCTCCGGCTCAAACACCAAGGCCAGCAGTGGGAACTGCACCAGGCTTGATAAGCAGCAAAAACTAGCGAAGGTAATGGGAGCAGGATTTTTGGCGAGGACAGAAACCTGAACGTAAGAGTTTCCGTCACTAAGGGTTAACTAAGAAAAACTGTCGCTTACCTGGAGGATGAGAAAACTAGAGAACGACAGACAAGAGCCGATCAAGCACACTGCTCCGAGTGTCCAGGATGCCATCTCCACCCGGATGAACTTCAGAAACTGTATATATTGTTTCTTTGTCACATCTATCGCTCGAAAGTGTTGTGAGCCATCGACATGAAACAAGGACAAAGAACTTCGGATCAACACTGGCCCCCTGTAAACCGAGAGTAAAACAGAACCGCACACGCCAAGAGAACAGCCGAGAAGCTTAGCCTGGCCGTGTCTCGTTCTTAGATTCAGTTTCTCCTTCCTAGAAAGAAAAAACCAGTTAATCAGCAATTTTCTCTCGAAAGGCTGCAACATTACCGTGAAACCAAAGCCAGCAAGAAGGTGAAAACTGGAATGCAATTTCTCAATGCCGACGCAAAGACTGCCGATGTATAGCTAAGTCCCGTCAAGTACAACAGCTGATTGATAGTGACCCTGTTGAAAAATCCAAGTAAAGATAACAAATCGTCAAGGTGATGAAAGTTACCGACCCTATCAATCCAAGCATGAAGACCTTGAGCCCAGCCGCCAGCGTTAAAGGCACAAGTTTCTTCCTGCACAAAGTGTTAGCTAGCACGCAGAGAAAGGCAAAGCTTTTTCTGCCAACCTTTCCAGGAGCAAAGACGCAATCGCCAACACCACGAAAGCCACGCAGTTTCTGTAGAAGCTGAAGGAAAACTTGCCAGCTCCACGGTCCAGCGCTAGCCTCGACAGGATCTCGAAGCCAGAGAATGCTGCTTGCACCGCTATGAGAGCAAAATGCAGCCTGAAGTTCCTTCTACCCGAATCGGCATCACGCTTGCCTCCTTCGGCACCATCTATCCTCTCCTCTCCCATGGCACCGAATTCCTGGCGAGCGCTATTTGCATGCTACAATGACAAATTTTGCCTCTAGTGATGTCGAAAGTCAGTGATCCAACCGAGGTTGCGTGAAGTAGCAACACGACAGACGAACTCCAAAGCCTTGGCCTTGTGCCGAGGCAGTGCTTAACGGCCTGTGTCTGTACCACTGTTCCGGAGCACACACTACTGTCATATGTCATCACACTCTACTTGTATCCCGTGCACATCATACAGCACTGTCTTGTCCTGCTTCCTACTCTTATCATCTTCTAGCAGAACCCCCCAGAACACTCCTCAAGAAGCCCCCTGTCATACGCTTGAGATGGCTGCCTTGTCATGCTTACTTTCCCCGGAAAGACGAGAGGCATTCTTTATCACCTGGAGTGTTGTGGCTCATCATCATTGAAGCATGAGCACCAACCTGACGAACCAAATTGCCGTACTACTATAGAGTATGAACCACCGCTCCACCTACCTATAATTAATGCAAATCCTGCCTTTGAGCGTCTAGCTATTTCGACTTTTTGGTCGCTCTTTTGGTTGCCTTTGCACCGCTGCGCTTAGCAGGCTTCTTGGCTGTCTGCATAGAGAAAACGTTGTTTACGCATAGCATAACAAAGTCATAATCGTACCTTTGGCTTGTTGTCTTTCGGTTTTGCCGCTCTCTTCACGATTTTGGAAGCCTGTAAGGAAGTGCATGAGTGGATGTTGAATCGTACAAAATTACTCACCTTGCCAGTCTTTTCCTTTGTATCGGCTTCCTCTTTTTTAAGTGCTGCAGCAGAAGCTGCTGCAACATCCATGCCCTCATCTTCTGAGTCGAAGGTCATTCCTTCCAAGGTACCTGGGCAATTCAAGAAACATGACTTGATACTTTTCTTCAAAACTGACGATTACCTTCAATCATATTTTCAGCAATTTTGTTGCCTGCATCGGGCAGCAACTGCACAAAGTCGTTCATTAAGGCTTCTACCTGTAATAAAAAGACATCTAGTTATACAGATGCAGGAAAATTGTATGTGATACCTTTGCTTCAGAAGGCCCGATGTTAACCTGAAAGATGTGTTGTTAAAGGCGTAAACGTGGGAAAGTGTCTGTACCAAAAAGAACGTGTTCGATGCAACAATGTTGGTCCTGTAAATAGTGCCTGCAAAGAAGCTTTTCGTTGTGTCAGCTCTTAAATTAGACACACCTTGCTTACCTTTGAGATCAAGAAAAACTTTCGAGTTGTCCGTTTCACAGACGGAAACTCGTCCCACTGCTCCAATGTCCCCGCTCACGTCCAGGGCGTCTCCTTCACATTCTAGAAGCACCTGCAACTCTAACATACATTAGCTGCGTAGACGAAAACAATGCTTACGTACCTTACTCCGTGAAATCTTCTCGGGAAAGACAAGGGGCAATGAGGAAGCCATCTATAAAACATGAAGAGATGAACTTCTGTCCCGATAAGAAGGAAAAACCATACCTTTGGTTTAGTTTTTTTGTTACTGCTCTCAGGCTTGTGTGAGTCGTCGGCAGCTAGCTCTTCCCCATTTTCCTCCTTCTTGTGACATGACTCATCCTCTTCTCTCTAAAAAAACTTTCTTCTGATGAAAAAAATGAAGAACATCAGTCCATACCTCTTCTGTCGCGGCATCTTCACATATTTCTAGCTTATGCTCGTCTTCGTCGGAATCGGAAAGCTCAACTCTTTTCCTCTTAGATCCATTAACTATGTCCCGTTTGTGACATGACTCGTCCTCTTCTTTCTGAAAAACTTTCTCTTGATGAAAAAAAGACGAACAACATCAGTCCGTACCTCTTCTGTCGCGGCATCTTCACATATTTCTTGTTCGTCTTCGTCGGAATCGGAAAGCGCAACTCTTTTCCTCTTAGATCCATTCCCAATCTCTCGTTCCGGCGATGGAGAAGGAGAAGGAGATAGAACGATCGTATCGGGACCCTGAAACAAAGAATCACTAAGAACGCCTTGCGCACAGCTCGCGCATACCTGATAATCTTGTAGCCACTTGGGCGACGCGGCCGCCGCCTCCTCACCGAGCTCCTCCGCCATTAGGGCTTTCACCAGGCAAAATTCCCGCGCTCTTTTGGCGCAAGCGTCTACGGCTCGATTCTCTTCCGCGGACAGTCTATCTGAGCCGTTGGACATGGACTCGCATCGCACGACTCCTAGAGCTAGAATCTATGTCACACTCGAGGCTCCGGATTCGAATGCTGGCCGGGGGAAGCGGTGAAATCCACGCCTGATCCAATCCAGCCGCTAGGTATGAGCATTCCATCCCCTCCAAAGCAGCGCAGCGCCGGTGGACGGCAATGGAAGCTCCTGGATATGGTGATGGTGTTCTTGTTCGCTGGGGTTTTCATCTTCTTCCTCCTCCTCTTCACTCCCCTGGGGGATTCCATGGCGGCATCAGGTCTAAAGTCTCTCGATTCGCCTCTGGCGATGGAGATTCGTCCCAGCGGCAGGCAGAGGCTCGTCAAGCTGATTGAGAAGGGCCAGCGAGTGGAATTGTGCGCTCCTGGCCTGGCGGATTACATGCCTTGCCAGGATCCAAAGAGGTCCTCGCAGATCAGCCGGGAGAGAAATCGCTACAGGGAGAGGCATTGTCCGCCAGAGAATGAGAGGCTTCTTTGTCGCATTCCATCGCCTCGGGGTTATAAGGTACCAGTTCCATGGCCAGATAGCTTAAATAAGGTACTACTCCAATCAACTCCTTTGTTTTACCTTTCTATCCTTCTTCCATGCATGGATAGATCCAGGTGGTTTTGTTTGTTCTTCCTGTTTGTATAGTATGATCTTGTAAGTTCTTCGTGTAGTTTTTTTTCTGTGTTTAGAGATCATGCTTTCGCTTTGCATCTCTACGAAAATTCTTTCGTGAAAGCCAGTTTCTATAAAAAAAAATCTTGTGTCCCAATTCCTTGCAAGTTCTCATTGATTTTGCATTTGCTGACGCTTCTAAAGATCCAGGTGTTTTTATTTGTTCTTCATGGAATGATCTTGTACGTTGGGTGGAGTTCTTCGTGTTTCGCACTGCAAGTTTACGTAAAACCCTTTCTTTAAAGCCAGTTTCAAGAGCATTTTTCTTGTGTTTCAAGACGTTTTCATCTTTGCTCCTTGGAAGTTCGCATTGATTTTACATTGCTTAACGCTTCTAAAGTCTTTCACGTCTTGAATCAAGGTGTGGTACAGCAACATGCCTTACGGGAAAATCGCTGAAAGAAAAGGCCATCAAGGCTGGATGAAGAAGGAGGGCGAGTATTTTATCTTCCCAGGTGGCGGCACAATGTTTCCAGAGGGTGCCTGGCAGTACATTGAGAAGCTGGAGCAGTACATCCCTCTGAGTGACGGACAGATTCGAACAGCACTGGACGCCGGCTGTGGAGTGAGTAGTAGCAGAAGTTTACGCCATTTCTAAATGCATCGATGTTCTTCTTTGCCAGGTTGCGAGCTTTGGTGCTTACATGCTTCGCAAGGACGTGCTTACAATGTCTTTTGCTCCGAGAGACTCACACAAAGCACAGATCCAGTTTGCTTTAGAACGAGGAATTCCTGCCTTCGTTGCAATGCTGGGAACTCAAAAGCTACCTTTTCCTGCGTTCTCCTACGATTTGGTGCATTGCTCTCGCTGCTTGATCCACTTCAGCGCCTACAGTAAGACACTTGCTTCATTTTTCCATCTGATAATGGTGGTGCGTTTTTTTTGGTTTCTAGATGGATCTTACATGATCGAGATGGATCGCCTCTTGCGACCTGGTGGTTTTTTCGTGCTGTCTGGACCTCCAGTCGGCTGGAAAAAGCAAGAGGCAGAATGGCAGGAGCTTCAAGAGCTGATCGAGAGGATGTGTTACACGCAGGTGGCTGTAGAAAACAACATAGCAATCTGGCAAAAAGCACTCAACCATACGTGTTACGTGGACCGAGAAGACGAAGAACCGGCACTCTGTGACACAGACCACGATCCAAATGCCGCATGGTGAGAGCTTTTTCTTGACAATTCATGGTAAAGCTTGACATGAACTACTTGTCTTGTTTTTTTCACTCCGCAGGTATTCTCCTTTAGACAAGTGTTTGTCGAGACTCCCCGACTCGAGACCAAGCGATTCGCGAGCCGGTGGAAAGCTTCCGGAGTGGCCGAAGCGATTGCAGGAGACGCCAAGAAGGTTTCACAGGTTTGGAGAGGCCAGCGTCTTCGAGAGAGACTCGCGAAGGTGGAGCCAGCGAGTTAAACACTACAAGGAAGTGGTGCTGCTCAAGCTTGGCTCTCCTCGCTACAGGAACATCTTAGACATGAATGCGGGCTATGGAGGCTTTGCTGCTGCTCTTTACCACGATCCGGTGTGGGTCATGAACGTCGTTCCAGTCACTGCTCCGAACACTCTACCCGTGATCTTCGACAGAGGTCTCATTGGAGTTCTACACGACTGGTACGCGATCCTCAGCTAAGTTTTCTCTTTCTCATTTACTTCCTCGCAGGTGTGAAGCATTCTCGACGTATCCACGAACTTACGACTTCATTCACGTCTCAAACATGCAATCTTTCACAACACAAGCGTCTACGAGGTGAAGAAACGTTTTTTCGTTTTTTCTGCGCTTCCTGGATCTCAATTTTTCTTTCCTGGATTTCAGCTGTAGCTTGGTGGACGTGATGCTGGAGATGGATCGAATTCTCCGGCCACAAGGCACAATTCTCGTCCGCGACACGACCAAGATGGTGGAAAAGATTTCCAAGATCGCATACGCATTGCAGTGGACGACCGAGGTTTTAACCACGGAAGGAGGAGTTCTCGGCAAAGAGAGGCTCTTCGTCGCCACAAAGCCATTTCACACATAGCCAATGTACCATAGGCCAATTTTGTATTTAATGGGAGAATATTACACAGCATCTCTAGTAGGGCCTAGGTTTTCTAGCGATGGCGTCTCGAAGCGCCCGGCGAGCAGGGATTCGCTTGGCGGACCTTTTGCGAGGATCAATCACAGGCGCGAATGCTACTCCAGCTTCATCGAGCATGGCGATCGCGCCGGGGTAAGCTCGAGCTCATGCTAGCTATGTACATTTTCGCGAGAGAGAAATTTCAGCCCCCTTTTTGATGGTTTTGAGCTTCTTTTTCTCTCAGGGACATTGCTCCCCCTGGTGCTCGATTTGCTTCGACTCAAGTTTGTAAGTCTTTTTTTTTTTGTTCTCTCGATCATGTTGCCCATGAATTTTTCTTTTCTTTGGTCAGTACGAAACCGAATGAAGAGTGTCCAGAGTATTCAGAAGATCACAAAGGCGATGAAGATGGTTGCTTCGTCTAAGTTGAGGCAAGTGCAAGCCAGGGCAGAGAAATCGCGTGGAGTGTGGCAGCCATTCACAGCTTTGCTGGGTGATGCTCCAGGTATGCTCATCTTTTTTCCTTCTGCTACTTTCTTTTCTTTACTTGTTCTTTTGTTTTCATCGCAGATACGTTCCCCAAAAAAACTGTTCTTCTGTGCATCACGTCCGACAGAGGTCTTTGCGGTGGTATCAATTCTTCCGTTGTTCGGTTTGGCAAAGCTATGCTCAAAGTCGCCAAAAACAATGGGGGTGAGAACTCTTTTCTTTCTGTGTTTACAGGCCTTAGTTGGTCGTCTTTTTGCAGGCGAGGACGCGAAGTTTGTTGTTCTCGGGGAAAAGGGGAAGGTCCAGATCCAGCGTGACTCGAAGCAATACATCTCACTAAATATCACGGAGCTAGTAAAGTATCCGCTAAACTTCACCCAGGTTGGTTGGCCTCGCAGGTTTACTAGAGGCGTGTCCTCACGTTTTTATGGGCTTTCCAGGTCTCCGTGATGGCGGACGAGATCTTGAAGAATGTGGAGTACGATGCGATCAAGGTGATATTCAACAAGTTCGCCTCCATGGTGAAGTTCTACCCGAGTGTGACCACGATCTTGGCGCCGGGAGTTAAGTTGTATAATTTACGATTTCCGTGCTCACTTCGTTTGATCTTCAGTCCATCAAAACATCGGAGACCGGTACACCTTCCGAGCTAGATCTTTACGAAATCGAAGGACCAGACAGCAAGGAAGAGGCTTTGCAAAACCTTAGCGAGTTCCAATTTGCTGCGGTATGAAAAAGCCTTTACGTTCTTTCTGGTTTGTTTTTCTCACCAAAGTGTACTTTAGGTGCTTTTCAACGCTCTGTTGGAGAATGCCTCCAGTGAGGAGAGCTCTCGCATGACGGCTATGGACAACTCCAGCAAGAACGCATCCGATATGCTCCAGAAGCTCACGCTCAAATACAACAGGTATGAGATCAGGAAAAGCTTCGATCGGTTCTCTAAGCTTCCATTTTTTTACTTCTCTAGAACTCGTCAAGCATCCATCACGACAGAGCTTATCGAGATTATCTCCGGTGCCGCGGCGCTGGAAGCAGCGAAGTAAAACCAGAAGAAAGAAATTCTCGCAAAGAACAAGCTGGGAGAGATTTTGCAAAGACTGCTGCGCTGCTCGAATAAGAAGAGAGAAGAGAATGAGAGACAAGAGAATAAGTCGAGGCGATTGATCGAACCGGACAGTGGTAGGCTGTGCTTGCTCGCTTGGTTTACATTTTTTTCTTTTCTTTGCTCTTGGAATTCGTCTTGGAAGAAGGCGAAGAAGAAGAAGCGCTCAAATGGTGATGACAAACTTTCAAACCGGATAAAAGGAGATAGGCCAAGTAATCGCTCTTGTGGCATTCTAGACGATCGATCGATTTTAGCGCCATCGCTGGAGGAGTGAGGGCGGCAGGAGTGGCGGCGCTGGCAGCGGCATGAGCCACAACCGGTGCGTGTTCTTTCTTTCTTGAGCTAGGGTTTTGGCAATTCCTCTTCTTTCTCGCCTGTTCTATCGAAATCTCGGCGCCCTGACGATGATTCCTCGTGGCAGGATCCGGGATTTCCTTCTGGCCGAGCGATGACCAATGCCTGGGACGAGCAAGCAACGAGCTCGCGCATCCAGCTCGGGGATTTGCACGCCACCGCCGATCCAGAGGTAGAGGAGGATCACAACAGCGACGAGGGAGGAGGAGTAGTGGAATTCTCCAGGCCAGGATCGTCAGGGGAGAGGGGATTGTCGACGAAGAAGAAGGAGCTGCGAAGGGTGTGGAGGCAGGAGTGGAAGGCCAAGCACAAGTGGGTGTATCCCATCAAGAACAGCGAGGGCGAGCTCCGGCTCAAGTGTACGTGGTGCACGTACTACAACATGGACAATGTGTACGCGCGGGAGGGGTGTAGCACCATCCAGATGAGCGCGCTCAACACCCACGCCAAGTCCGAGGCGCACAGGGCCGCCGAGAGCCGGATTTGCGTCCCCGCCTCGCTCGCTCTCCCCGACGCCCTCTACGATGGTAACTTGATCTTCCTCCTTGCATTGCATTGCATCGTTCTCTTGGTTTGATCTCACGCTAGCTTTCTGGAAGGGAATTGGAGTCTTCCTTCCCGGGAAGTTCTCTCCCGACGCACGCCCTCTACGATGGTAACTTGTTCTTCCTCCTTGCATTGCATTGCATCGTTTGGTCTCACGCTAGCTTTCTGGGCGAGATGGGAACTTGGAGTGAGCTCTTCCTTCCCGGGAAGTTCTTTCTCGACGCCCTCTAGCGTGATCTCTCCCTGCATTTTGCATTGCATCGTTTGATCTCACGCTAGCTTTCTGGAAAAGATGGGGACTTGGAGTCTCTCTCGGGAGGGGAAGTGCTTGCATCTCTTCGTTTTCGAGAGTTTCGATCGAGCGAACTCACTCACTTGCGATGCTTTTGTGCCAGGATCCAAGAATGGAGCCGACTCGGACGGGCTGGACGACGTTCCCGGGGTGAAGAAGCGGCGCTTCTCCACGAGCCCGGTGAATGGTGGCGGCGGTGCGAGCTCCCCCCCCTCCACCAGGGCCGAGGTGCTGGGACTAATCATGCACAAGAACAACAGCCGGGTGGTGCAGCTGCTGGTGGACGCGGAGAGCGGGCGGAACGCGCGGCACGCGACGAGCGTGGCGCTGGCCAAGAAGCAGCTCAAGCTGGACGAGCGGCGGCTCCAGATTGAGCAGCACCTGCTGGAGCAGGACAGGGCGCGGCTAGAGGCGCACGTCCGCCTCGGCCAGAGCTTCATCGCCGCGCTCACCGACATTGGCGACGGGCTCAAGCGCATCGGCAATGCAATGGAAGCGGCAAAGACGTAGTTTGAAGAACCCTAAATACAGAGTTCCCGCGATTTCCGGAAGAACCCTAATCTTGCCGAAGAGCCCTAATTTTGTCCGAAAAACGAAAAACAGGGGAGGGGTGTTGGAAATGTCTTGTCCGAGCGTGATGTCAGGAATGAGCGTGCTGCGTGCCTCGGGGCGTTTCTCGGACAACCCGAGATTTGATAAATTGGAAGAAATGCGCGCGGTACATCCTTTAACCTAAGCGTGTGGTATTTAAGTGCGCTCGATCGAGATATGCGTTCTTCTTCGGCTGCGGTGCTGCGCTGTGAGTGACGCGATTTCTTCCATCCCATTCCATTGTACAGATGCTCTGAGCGAGATTGGTCGTCGCGTCGCGTCGCGTCGCTTTCTTCCTCATTCATTCCTCTGCGTTCATGTTGCTCAAGCGCTATAAGAGTTTTCATGGTCTCTTGTATAGCTTCCATCGTCTTCTTCATCCAGCTCCAATGGCTTCTTCGAGCGTTTTGATGGCCTCTCTCTTGCTCCTCTCCTTGATCGCCGCGGCTACCACGGCCACTCAATCGTCCATCCAAGATGGTGATCTTCATCAGGTCCGACGGAGTCTTGACGATCGTGGCTTTGTCCATTCTCTTCTTGACGATGCTATGTCCCATCCTGAAGTTCCACCTTCGGCTCGCGGAGCTACTCGAGCACCAGCTCCACTACCATCGTTTGCTCATCATGATCATCCGTGGTCAGCTCCTCGATCGTCAGCAAGCTCTCAGCTCCAGAGGTCGGAGACCATGACCGCGGACACCGGTGCCGACTACTACGAGCCCCCGAACGGCGATCGCCGCGGCGGCTTCTCGGATGGTTTTGATCCGTCCTACCAGTCGCCACCCTCGGCCGCTCGGGCCAGGCACCGCGTCCCAGTCTCGGGCAGCAACCCGGCCTCGGACAACGCTCGTGGTGTGGCCGCCTGGAAGCCGCCACTCGTTGGGAGCTAGCCAAGTTCTCGATTGGTCAATCCATCTATATAGAATGTTCGTTTGTTTCTAGATCTTCTCGAAGAGCTTTGTATCGTCTTCCCAAGAAATAGACTCCCATGCTACGTGCCAGCGATTTCTTGTCTTCTTCGCGGCGTACTGTTAGCTTTGTGGAATCCCTGCTGGCGAGATGTTGCAGAAAAAGCTTGACCTGGATGATCGCATCTTTCGTGTTTCTTGTGCACTCGATCGAGCGATGGTGCAGCTCGAATCCGTGCAGCTCCTTCGCAGCCGGTTCATCCAACCAGCCGCTGCTGCCAGCGACATTGATCCTCCTACGCGCTACGAGCTCACGCCCTTCGATGGCATGATGAGAATCGCTCTCTACCAGAAGAGGATCCTCTTCTTCGAGCGCGGCGATTCTAGGATGGATTTCGCGGCGGTGGTGGCAGCGCTCGAGGAGAGCTTGCGATGGGTGCTGGTGAGTTTCCGGCCGCTGTGTGGGCGTATGGTGGTCGATCAAGATCTTAGTAGCGGCCTCTGGATCGATTGCTCGGGCGAGACGAGCGTCCAGTTTGCAGAGGCACAGACGGCTGCGCGGCTGGAGGATCTGGGCGATTTCGAGCCCAGCGAGTTTTGCGATTCGCTGGTTGAGATTGGATGCTCTCCAAAGTACCCGTGGGATCCAAAGCTGCCATTGCTCTTTGTCCAGGTAAATGCTCTATCATTTCCTTTGTGACCATCTTGATCTTGCTCACCAAGTTCCACGTCTATATAGGTGACGAGATTTGGCTGTGGAGGCATAAGCCTCGGAATCGCGTTTAGCCACCAAACCATGGACGGCGTGAGCGCTTGGAACTTCATGAAGTCGTGGGCCGAGCGCGCGAGGAGCAGAGGAACCTCACCGCTCCCGCGAGTTTCTTGCTATGCATACAAGTCTCCCATGCTCTCGGAGCGGCAACTAGAAGAAACGGCGCGAATGGGCGGCTTCGCACTCGGCATGGCCACCAAGAACACCATCAAGCCAAAGCTCGGCGTCAAGAAATTCAAAGCCACACGAGAAGCCATCCGAGCCTTGAAGACCTCTCTCCCGAGCTTCAGCTCCTTCGAGCTCGTGTGCGCGGACTACTGGCGGAGGATGGTGGCGTCGGCGGTGGAGGCGGGGATTCTCAACGCCGACGAGTGCTACTTCGTGATCCTGGTCAACTGCCGGGGAAGGATCGCATCCATGCCGGACTCCTACTTTGGAAACGGGATCACCGGCACCCGAGTCCGCGCCAATGTTTGCGAGCTCCTTGGTGGTGGTGGGATTTGCAACGCTGCTCGGGCGATCCACGAAGGGATTGCCGGACTGCGCGACGTCGAGGGATCCGTGCTGGTGATCAACAAGTTTGTGGAAGAGCTGGCGAGGAATGGTGCCGAGATTCCAGCGCACAAGCCGGGGCAGTCGGTGCTGGTGGTGAGCTCACCGCGCCACCCCATTTTCGAGTGTGACTTTGGATTTGGGAGGCCGGTCGGGGTGACTTTCGGGACGAACGACCTGGACGATTCCAAGCTCTACTTGTTCCCGGCGGCGGATGGGAATGGCATGGACGTGACAGTTTGTATGAGAGTCGAGGCGCTCGACAAGTTCGTGTGAGTCTCAGCTCTGCACATTCTTCTTGTGCTCGCAATGCGCGAGCTCTTGATTGTTTTTTCTCAGTTGTCGATCAATTCTTCGTTTGGGCTGGAGGTTGGATTTGTTTCGCCAATAATTCTTCATGATCTCTTTGTTTCCTTGCGAAGACTTTGAAAATTTGACTCGCCAGTTAAAGTAGACTAATCACAGTGAAACAAATCGTCAGGCGCAACTTTCACGTATGCGACCAAAACCTGATTAATCTTCAAGGAGTCTCCTTCGAGCAGGCGAGGATCTGCAGGGATGATGTCTCCAAACTTTATGGCTATGATGTCACCAGGAGTGAAGAACTTCGCTTCCATTTCTTTCCATTTCTCGTCCCTTAGAGCCTGCGCATGCACGAGTGACAATCCTTGGGACAAAACAAGTCGCTAGCAGACCTTGCACTGAGGAGCCAACCGTGCCATCAAAGCAGCCGCTGCGTTTCCGGCATTGTTTTCTTCGAAGAAACTTATCGTGGAGTTCACCAAACGAAGAATAATGGCGCGCAAGCCCGGGACCCCATGTTCGAGTGTGACTTTGGGCCGGTCGGGGTGACTTTCGGGACGAATGACCTGGACGAATTCATGCTCTACTTGTTCCCGGCCGCGGATGGAAATGGCGTGGACGTGACAGTTTGTATGAGAGTCGAGGCACTCGACAAGTTCGTGAGTCTCGAAATTCGTCTTTTGCTCGAGCTCTTCGGTATTGTTCGTTTGAACTAGTGTTTCATCACCAAAAAAGTGTTTTTTCTTCATGATCTTGAGGAGATCTCTCTCCATTGCGAAGACTTGAAAAATTGAAAACTTACCTCCGCGGCACGTAGAAATGGGTTCTAATTCAGCTGAAGAGCAAGCGTCCGAGATTTACAAAGCGACTCTTTCCGCGTGGAGGATAAACTCGCAGTACAGATTCTTGAGAGCAGTGAGAACAGTCATCAAGAGCGGCCCCATGATCGCCCCCTGCAAAGCCAAAACCAAGACAAAAACCATGAGAAAAAACAAAGGGAGAAAGAGTAAAGCAAACCATTACCTCGAGCGCTGGAGAGAAGAGTGCCATCCCGCCAGCAATGCTGAGCCCCGTCAAGTAAGCATTGTGTCCCGGGATCTCATCCTGTATCGCCCGGTTGCCAAAGTCAAGCACCAGACAATGAACAACTCCGAGCACCACCGCGGCAAGGTAGTCACCCTGTACGACGAGCTGCGCAGCCGCCGGGATGGAAGCAACGCCCAGCGGAAACACCGGCAGCACCGCGGTGACGATCGCCAGGAGCGTCGACACGTAGAGAAAATGGATGCCGAAAGCCCGGAAGAGCAACCACGTAAATGCGGCCTGGTAGAAGGCCGACTTGACGGTGGCCAGGAGGACGCTGCTCACAGCGCGGTTGAGCACGGTGGCCGATCGTATCCGCGCAGTCTCCGAGAGTGGAATCATCCCGAGCACCTGTTCCACCACCCCGCCCGACTGGGACGTGATGAGATAGTAGAGCAGCGAGAAGAACACCGCGGCCTGCGTGAGAAAGTGGAAGATCCCCGCGGCACCGGAAGCGATGGAGCTCCCCACGGCCATGGCGATGGAGGTTCCACCATAGACGACGTGAGAGCCGCCGAGGAGGACTCTCTTGCCGATCTCCGCCCCAGTCTCGCTCACTTGCTTCATCCGATCTCTCACGTCCTCGGGCTTGAGCTGGAGGTGGTCGAGCAGCAGCGAGAACACGGCCTCCAGCTCCGAGTAGAGTGCCTTGAGATCGTAGTCCCGGAGCAAGCTCCTGGCACGGTGGAGCCGGATGAGCACTGGATGCGAGGAGGTGGTGGTGGTGGTAACGTTGGCGGCGGCGATAGTAGCGGCGCCGCTCGCCTGGCGGCGTCCGCGAGCAAAGTTGACGAGGAACTCCTTCCCGGCGTCCGTGAACTCGGTGAGGTTGTACTGGACGCCGAAGGCATCGATGTGCTGGGACACCAACTCGTAGGCTGCGGAGGAGTGCTGCTCAATCGCCACCGTCACGTTGCTGTGCTCGAGCCACTGGCGGAGGCCGACCATCTCCGTGTAGTTGTGGCGCTGTACGTGGATCTTGAGCGCCACCGCCGCGTCCCGGGCCTCGAGGCCGGCCTTGTAGGAGAAGAGGACCAGCCCGGCCACCGAGACGAGGATCATGAGCATGATAAGCCCGATTGCCACGATGGTTGGAAGCCTGGCCGCCAGGAATGCCGTGGCGTGCCTGTTAAGAGCTCTCGAGGCCCGGATGATCGGCCAGGACGCCCAGCCAAGCCACTTCCTCGTCACAGTTCTTTGCTGCCTGGATGATCTCTTCACGTCCATGGCCACCGAAGAAGTTGGCGGGGATGGTGGCGATGGTGGCGGCGCGAAAGCTCCAAGCCTGGAAGCTCCAGCGTAGGCAGCCAAGCCAGTGGCGATGGCCGTGGCCAGCGACGCGACGCCGAGCTTGTCATAGCCGAGAGTTACCACCGCGAAAGCTAGCAACCACTGAAGGAGCTTGGAGAATCCAACCTTGAGAGGGAAGGCCTCGTGCCTCGCCAGGATCCAGAGGATGGTCGCTCGCAAATCCTCGATTGTTCCAGCTAGACCCTTGCAAACCGCGAGCGGGATGGCGAGCAGCGTTTGGATGAGTCCCTGGCGGAGTGGAGCCTCCCAGAAGCGCACTAGACTTCCCTGGATCTCTCGCAGCGTAATGGAGCACAGCACGGCCCACTGGATTGGCTTCCAGAAATCCTTGAGCAGCAGTCCCAGGCCGTAGAGAGTGAGGATGAGCAGCAGCAATCCCGCGTGAGCCATGGCGATGTAGAGCGCGAGCTGGAAGTTCATGGCTTTGAGTTTGCTGGAATCCATGGCCGGATCCTCCACACTCTTGGGTGGCTACGCCTCCAGCAGCAGTGGGGGAGCGAGAAACCATCAGCTCGCCACTAGCTCGAGCTGGGCATCCAATCCAGCGCAATTCTCCCCATTTTCCTTACTGCCTTGCTTGGAATCGAAGCTCCCCACAAACATCTCTCTCCATGCAAGGGCTCGCTCCACAGGACCAAGAAATCTATCCACAGGACGGTCAAAGATTCCCACCTTCATTCCCTAAACAGCAATCCGCGATGTGAAGAACCCTAAAAATCGGGACAAGAGGAAGAACAAGGGGCTGGTGAGAAACGCTGTGTACAAGGCGCTCCACACACTCAAGGAGGGTCAGGTGGAAGACGAGGTCTACCAGCGGCAAACGTTTCGGCCCTGGACTCACGATGAATTTGCTTGCGACAAGGAGGCCTACTAGCTGTTTGTGGCGGCGATGGAGGAGGAGGAGCGGCCGCTCGGCCTGTGGGTGAAGCGATACACCGACGTGAACTACTTGGAGAAGCCGGGGTGGCAACACTATCCTTGCTCGCATTTTAGCGATAGCGGCCGGGAGTGGGTGTTTGGCAGGATTGGCATCGCAGACGAGGACGCTCAGGAGAGGATGTTTCCTTCACTACTTTGCTGCGTTCTTGCGAATCGAGAATCGCGTCACACTCCTGGCACTGTGAGACAATCTTTTCTTTCACTCTTCTATTTTTCTTTCCTAGGTGTTTGTGACGGGCAACCGCGAGTTCCACGAGAAAGTTTTGCTGGACGAGGATCGCATGGGGGGCTGTTCGACTTCCTCCAGCTTTATCTCTTCTCGGAGCTTTACTTTTACTTTCCTGTTTTGTCGTCTGGGTACTGTGATGGAACTTAAGTCTCAACCGCGAGATCCTGGCAATGCAATCGAGCGATGGTTCTTGGATCTTGTGAGATCGTGCCGCGATCTCGCGGCGGCGGAGGCGATCCATTCGTGCATTGCGTTGGCGGGAAATGCGGGAGTGTGGGTATTGCGCGCCATGTCTTTGATGGCATTCGCTACCCCTGTTCGATTCTCCTCTGCGCGTAGGTCTTTGATGCAAGCACGATCCCATCTGAATGCCAAACGCTTCTTCCAGATCGCGCCGGCAACGAGTTTGACCTCCTGGAACACGCTCCTGTCTGCATTTGCCCAGTCCGGGAATCTTTCAGGGAATCCCTCTCAGGAGCCTTGGAATGCCATGCTGGCGGCATATTCCACCTGGAAGATGCTCGGAGAATCCAGGGTCTCTCTCACTACCCGGCCAGATTAAAAATGTGATCCAGTAAGTTATCTAGTTGATTCTTTGCAACTCTCAAATCTTCTTTCTTCTTCTTTATTTCTCTGTTCTTTAGATGGCCACCAGAGGTCTTGGAAGCCACACTGATAGTCCAAGTAAACCGAGTGTCCGAGAAAGAAATTATCGTTCCTATATCATCGATCGGGTCAGTGACATTGGCTTTCATTACAATGGTCTACTCATTTTCTGTAGAACACAGAGGGAATGGTGACTGGATACGTGATATATTGTGTGAGGCTTGGAAAACTGATGCTGCCAACGGCGGACGTGTGAGAGTTGTGCCTGGAAAGCCTCCCATCCGGATCATCATGCTTGCCGGCGTAACAGAGCGTACTTTACCGATGGCCGCCTGCTTATAACAGGGATCTCTTTGCCGAGCAACATGAATACGCAAATATCAAGGTGCGTTTGCCAAGAATTTTTTTTTTTTTTCGGTCGGTAACAAAGTTTACATCAATGCTGGCTCATTGCTGAGCAATGTCGAAACTTGACTGATGATACGTCCTCATTACTGGAGAAGACTTTTTCTGCTTTATGCTCCTCTTAGTAGATCTTCTGAGCGCGCCAAGATAACTAAAGCAGATGGGAATCGTTTGAGTGCCTGTTATCCTTGTTACCGCTAAAATAGTACCAATGGAGGTGTACATATCCAATACGCTGGATCGCAGCCCGACCTTGGATGCTGGATGTCCAATCCGGTGAGACTGGCGGGTCAGGTGACCTCGGGCACCCGACCCCTCAAGGCGCGAAGGTTAAAATTTTCGAAGTCTTCGCAATGGAAAGAAAGAGATCACGAAGAATTATTGGCGAAACAAATCCAAGCTCCAACCCAAACGAAGAATCGATGGACAACTGAGAAAAGAGCTCGCGCTTTGCGAGCAAAAGAAGAATGTGCAGAGCTAAGGCTCACACGAACTTGTCGAGCGCCTCGACTCTCATACAAACTGTCACGTCCATGCCATTCCCATCCGCGGCCGGGAACAAGTAGAGCTTGGAATCGTCCAGGTCGTTCGTCCCGAAAGTCACCCCGACCGGCCTCCCAAATCCAAAGTCACACTCGAAAATGGGGTGGCGCGGTGAGCTCACCACCAGCACCGACTGCCCCGGCTTGTGCGCTGGAATCTCGGCACCATTCCTCGCCAGCTCTTCCACAAACTTGTTGATCACCAGCACGGATCCCTCGACGTCGCGCAGTCCGGCAATCCCTTCGTGGATCACCTGAGCAGCGTTGCAAATCCCCCCACCACCAAGGAGCTCGCAAATTTTGGCGCGGACTCGGGTGCCGGTGATCGCGTTTCCAAAGTAGGAGTCCGGCATGGATGCGATCCTTTCCCGGCAGTTGACCAGGATCGCGAAGTAGCAATCGTCGGCGTTGTCGAGAAATCCCGCCTGCACCGCCGCCGCCACCGTCCTCCGCCAGTAGTCCGCGCACACGAGCTCGAAGGAGCTGAAGCTCGGGAGAGAGGTTTTCAAGGCTTGGATGGCTTCTCGTGTGGCTTTGAATTTCTTGACGCCGAGCTTTGGCTTGATGGTGTTCTTGGTGGCAATGCCAAGTGCGAGGCCGACCATTCGCGCCGCTTCTTCTAGTTGCTGCTCCGAGAGCTCGGGAGGCTTGTATGCATAGCAAGAAACTCGCGGGAGCGGTGAGGTTCCTCTGCTCCTCGCGCGCTCGGCCCACGACTTCATGAAGTTCCAGGCGCTCACGCCGTCCATGGTTTGGTGGCTAAACGCGATTCCGAGGCTTATGCCTCCACAGCCAAATCTCGTCACCTATATAGACGTGGAACTTGGTGAGCAAGATCAAGATGGTCACAAAGGAAATGATAGAGCATTTACCTGGACAAAGAGCAATGGCAGCTTTGGATCCCACGGGTACTTTGGAGAGCATCCAATCTCAACCAGCGAGTCGCAAAACTCGCTGGGCTCGAAATCGCCCAGATCCTCCAGCCGCGCAGCCGTCTGTGCCTCTGCAAACTGGACGCTCGTCTCGCCCGAGCAATCGATCCAGAGGCCGCTACTAAGATCTTGATCGACCACCATACGCCCACACAGCGGCCGGAAACTCACCAGCACCCATCGCAAGCTCTCCTCGAGCGCCGCCACCACCGCCGCGAAATCCATCCTAGAATCGCCGCGCTCGAAGAAGAGGATCCTCTTCTGGTAGAGAGCGATTCTCATCACGCCATCGAAGGGCGTGAGCTCGTAGCGCGTAGGAGGATCAATGTCGCTGGCAGCGGCGGCTGGTTGGATGGATCGGCTGCAAAGTCGCTGCACGGATTCGAGCTGCACCATAGCGCTCGATCGAGTGCACAAGAAACACGAAAGATGGGATCATCCAGATCAAACCTCTTCGGCCACATCTCTCCACCACAGATTCCACAGAGCTAACAATCCAGCGCGAAGAAGACAAGAAATCGCTGGCACGTAGCATCGGACTCTGTTTCTTGGAAAGACGGTATAAAACTCTTCGAGAAGATCTAGAAACAAACGAAGAAAACATATAGATGGATTGACCAATCGAGAACTTGGCCAGCTCCCGACGAGTGGCAGCTTCCAGGCGGCCCCACGAGCGTTGTCCGAGGCCGGATTGCTGCCCGAGGCTGGGACGCGGTGCCTGGCCCGAGCGGCCGGAAGTGGCGACTGGTAGGACGGATCAAAACCATCTGAGAAACCGCCACGGCGATCGCTGTTCGGGGGCTCGTAGTAATCTGGTGTCTGCGGTGACATTTGGTGATCCTGACGAGTGTGTCACCATGTTCAAGAACATGAGCATGGCCAACAATGAGCAAACTTTGCATCAGAAAATTTTTTCAGTGACGTTAAAGGAAGTGTAAGGGAAAGCTCATTAGTCCGTTGACATTGTTTCGGCATAGAAACAAAGAGAGCTTCTTAAGGTCTTTAGGATAAGGATCACTGGAAATTCTCAGGGATTGGTGCTTTAGAATAGCAGAAGCTTATGACGAGGAGTGTGTGTCTGCTGGTTTTAAGGACAAGCTGATGAAGATTCTCTTTGGAGCTTGTCATTCAGAGAAGCTGTCCTGCTCAAATGCAATCCAGGCTTGGGACAGAAAACAACAAGTGCCACATTCGTGGAGTGATCTTAACAAGAAAGCTCTAGAGTTAGGAATGCTAGAGGTGGAACGATGGTGGTTTTTTGCTGCTCAACATGATCTAATCATTATGCAAGCTGATCATTGTCATGATAGTGATTGCCTTTGTAGGATATTCTTTTGAACATGCATGAAGAGATGAAGAATATATCCGAGTTTCTCAAGCAAGGCCAATATCAACCTTATATTGGGTTTTTTTATTTTTTCTCATTTGGATTGTATTTGATATTTTCTTTGTTTCTTTTGAAGACTATTATGAATACTCAATTTCAAAACCAAATTACATGTAAATCTACAATCTGCCACTGAAACAAGCTCGTAAGGATGGATTGCTTTATAGTTAAGTTTTTCTCCATAAATATCACCCATCCCAGCATAAAGTTCAACTACATAACTTGCAAACTCTATGAGCATGGATGAATGATAGCCTTCAATCATTTTTTGAAGATTCAACTCATCACAAAGACAAAGTGTTCTTATGTTGTTCTATTGGTTTTTGCTCTTTCCAGTGGATCAAGGATCTCATCATATCCTCTTGTTTTCTGAATAGGGATAATTCATTAACTATAGACACTGCTATATACCAATATTTGCTAGTATCAAAGTGCAAGAAAAAGTGTATAAAAAGTGTCCACGATCTCATGGAGTGCTCAAGCCACTCATGAATCAACAGATTAATGACTGATTGAATTTGTAAGACATCTATAAACCACTCTAAATTCACAAGAATTTCACTATGGTTCCTAAAGCACTAAAAACCTTTTAGTTTTTAATGGAAACTTGACTTTTGCTTTCCTGTTTTGTAGCTTGCGCTCGTCTTTGTCATGTCAACCACGAGATCCTGGCAATGCAATTGAGCGATGGTTCTTGGATCTTGTGAGATCGTGCCAGAATCTCACTGCGGCAGAGGCAATCAATTCATGCATTCCATTGGTGGGAAATGCCTAGGAGATCTTCGATGGCATTCGATCCAAGAACAGCTACTCATGGTTGATCCTCCTTTGCACGTACTCACACAATGGGTCTTTGATGTGAATCTCTAGAAAAAAAAGCCTATATCAACCAAAAACCCAGGCTCAAGGGACTCCGACCTTGAGCCCAGGGTTGCATTGGAGCCATAGATTGGATCATGCATAGCATATACCATTTATTAGCATATGCTAGCAATTAGAACCGTCAACCTTTCAAAAGGGGGAATCCAAATTGTGAATCCCCATCTCCCTATCAATACACAACATTCATTCACTCATCTTTCTTTTTCAGCCTTTGGAGGTTAGGCCCTTTTCCCTTTTGTTTTATCACTAGCAATAGATTTCCAGTGAAGAAGAGTATTCACACCTAGGCTCAATTGATCCAAATCTAGCATTGGCATCGCTTCGAAAACTTGTTTGGCCTTCACTTGCAGTCTTCGTCACATGTAAGGGAGAAAACGCACCGCTGCCACTGCGAGACCATTGAATATTCTACGAGCATCTTCCAGGTGGAATATGCTGCCAGCATGGCATTCCGTCCAGCACGGCGATGCTCGTGGCTCTCATCCAGGCCGAACGAGTTCCAAGAAATGGAGTAGCGAGATCTCGCTGCCTCAGTGGAATTGCAGAGTGGGAATCTGGAAGAAGCAAGGTGCGCGTCGAGCGGTTCGATTCCGGAGAGGGAGCCTGAGACACAGCTACCACATCCAAGGAAGGCAGTAGGTGCGCAAATTATGCCTACGATGCTTCAATCAAATTTCTGCCCTATCAACTTTCGATGGTAGGATAGAGGCCTACCATGGTGGTAACAGGGAATTACGGCACGAGGGCCACGCGATTCGACAAGTTACCATGAATCACCGAGAATACGGGCGAGCCCGCATCGGCCTTGAATCTAGTAAGTGCATCCCTTCCAGAGGTCGGGACTCTTTGCACGTATTAGCTCTAGAATTACTACGGTTATCCGAGTAGTAAGGTACCATCAAATAAACTATTACTGATTTAATGAGCCATTCGCAGTTTCACAATACAAAACAATTTATACTTACACATGCATGACTTAATCTTTGAGACAAGCATATGACTGCTGGCAGGATCAACCAGGTAGCTACCGTCTGAGGATGCAAGGCACACAAGTCCTAACACCCAGAGATGGAGCAAAGGCAATGCACAGCCAACATCAACTAGGATGCCACAACTGCAAGGGTTATGCTTCAAATGCCAAGGCAAGCCAAAGCCCTCAGCAGCTGAGTGAAGCCTACGCACGGTGAGAACACACGCACGCAGCCTTCACCCGCCCTGGCCGGACTTGGACTGGACTTTGGCTATGTGATGCATAAGCCCCTACTTGAGCATCAGTCCAAAGGTAATAACCGAGCTACAATGAAATCAAGGCAGGAACAAGTCCAAACCTTGAGAACAATGCAACAGTGTAGGCAAGCAAGGCTAGG